TTCTGCACTGTAAGCAAAAGCGATCCCGCCAGGGTCATCGAGCATCTCAGAACCATAACGCTTCGTGACAATAAAGGACTACGTTTTCGCTTGATATGCTAATAGTTTCCGAGGTTAATGTTCAATATTAAATATATAAATGATGGTGGCAATTTATTGTGCTGTGGAAGAGCTTGGGGTTAAATCCATGATTTTCTGCTCAGTAAGCAAAATCGATCCCTCCAGGGTCTCGAGCATCTCATAATCCACAGCGCTTCGCGTCAAAAGACGAATATATGGATGAAATATCTTTAATTGAATAACTATTATTTACAATAGTTATATGAAAGAAATAAAATATAAAATACAAACAAAACGAGACTACGAAAATCTCAAAAAGATATTCTCACAAATATATTTCACGCAACCAGGGATCTCAAAACCAATCTGCACATGTTAGACACAAGAAGAGGCCAAAAAGCAAGCGGATCAGAAAAGTTGGAGCTTCTGCTCATTGGTAAAAGTGCTAAACCTAGTTGCTTTAAACATATCAAGAGCCTGCCAGTCATCTATAGAAGCAACAAAAAAGCATGGATGGTAAGCTTCATGTTTGAAGAATGGGTGCTTAAACTTGATGGAAGAATGATGATTGAAGGAAGGTGAATAATTTTGTTTATCGATAACTGTCCCAGCCATCCAAACATTCAGCAAAAGTTGAGCAACATCAAACTTGCATATTTTCTTCCCAATATGACCTCTGTGCTCCAACCACTTGATCTTGGCATAATCAAGTCTTTGAAAGTGCACTACCGCAACAAGCTATTGAAATATCAACTGAATTCTATTGAAAATGGTGAATCACTGAAAATTGATTTACTACAGTGCATTAACATGATAGCTGATGCATGGCATAACAACGTTAAACAATCCACAATTGTTAATTGCTTTGTTAAAGCTGGTTTTGTCAAACCAATTTAATATGTTTTAATGAGAGTAGCATTGAAACTGATATTACTGAAGAAAGTTTATTTCAATCCGAATTGGAAATGCTCACTGAGAAAGGTTTTGATTCATTTGGAGGTATAAACATATATGTAATGTTTCAATAATATTATTTATGAAATTTGTGTATTCCAGACTACGTGACTTTTGACGACGGCCTTTATGAAGGAGAACTTTTGACTGACGATGAAATAGTCCGAATTGTTCATGATCAGTCATCTAGCTGCAGTATTGATGATCAAAACCACTCATTGACTGATGAAACTGTTGACAATGAATTAACCAGTGCGCCTTCTAAGAATAAACTTTCAGAGATGCTTTCCAAACAATATATGCTAGTTAATTAACTACGGAAGATCTGCCAAAGGACAGTTTCAGCAAATTTTTTGAATAAAAAAACAGGTTCTAGGGGAAGAATTAATTGACATTTGATTTGGTATAATCTTAAACTATATGTATTGTATTGTTAAAAATCGATTGGAATCATCTAAAAATATACTTTGATTGTTTAGCATGGAGTAATTAATTAATTTAACTTTATTAGAGGGGCTTTCAGCCTTGGGCTGGTTCACCTCCATAATTTAGCATGGAGTAACGTTTCTCTCTCTATAACGACATTGAAATTCTATATAACGACTATCTTTTATAACGACAGTTCTCTATAACGACAGTCCCCTGCGATGTCGCTATAAAGAGCTTTGACTGTACTCTGAACTCTAGGGAAGTTCTGTAAACTTTTCGTTGGAAGTTCTGTGAAATTTGTTCGAAAATTCTGCCTTCTGTAAACTCTTCGTTGGATATTCTGTAAACCTCAGAAAATTTCGCCTGATGTTCTTAGAATTTTGCCAGAAGTTCAATGTATTTTGTATGAAGTTCAGAGAATTTTCACCTGAACATCAGAGAACGCCTGGTTATCGTATCATTCATAAAGTGCATAGGAACTCTTTAAAGATGAATAGGAGTAGTTCTGTGATCTTCAAGGAGGTACTGTAAACTCTGAAGAAGTTCAACGCAGTTCAGAGTTGTTTTGCGATCTTCAGAGAAATTCTTCGGACGCCATAAATTTCTGAGAACTTCTAGTGATCTTCAAAAATTATGAACAAGGTTGAGGTGATATGTTACTTCATCATGACAGGGAGTTACCTCACATCTCCCAGGTAACATTGAACCCTTTATAGAGGTTTAATAGCATTCTACCAGTCTAAATCATGGTCCATAGAACCCTCATAAAACCAAAATTGTTACTTGGGCTCTTACAACGCAGAATAAGCTTGAAATTAAAATATCTGCAGTGTGCTCTGAAGTTTTCATGAAACTGGTAAGAGTACTCGAAAGTTTGTAAAATCACTCTGATGTAAAGCAGATATCATCAAAACGCAAAGGACTTTTCTTAGGGTAGCAGAGCTTAGCTGAAGTTCGCATCTGTTCTCTATGTTTTGAAATGTTTAGTGTAAAGAGCTCTCCTGAAGCTATCTGAAGTTCGTTGAGCTCATCTGAGTTTTCCAGAATTTTTATGAAATTTGTCAATTTTTTCTGCTATTTGCAGATTAGTGAATAAAGAGAAGCTGCAGAATATGATTGACTTTATGGAAAATGGATTGAACGATTGGACTTTTAAAGGAGGTAGGTTTTAAAACTGGGTATGCAGAAGAAATTTGGTTAATAGTTGGGAAAGATTGGAAAGTATGAGCTTGTGAGTAAATATGAACATATTAGAAAATATGATGCACCGTTAATTTGTGACGATGAATAGCTTAGAGACGATGGGGCATAGTTGGGTGATATCGGACTTGTTAGTGATTGACTTAAGGGTGAACTCGTAAGGGACTCGTTGAAGAGTATGCAAGGGAGGCGCCACATGCAGTTCATCACAATGAAAGCCTCAGAGTTGGTTGGAAATGCTATCTAACATGAAGCTTAAGTAAGATAATTTATTAGCTAGAGAATGATCCTAGAAGAGGGTAGGTAGATAGTTCCGTTAGAGTACGGTAGTATGAAAATTGAATAGCAAGCAAATGCAAGCCTGTTCAAATAAGGGTGGGTTTCGTGGTCGTGCGGTTAGCGGCGTCATTCGTCGCTCAGGCGTATTGTGAGTGCCATGAAGTGAGAGTTCGATTCTCTCACTCCAGCTGGTGGATCTTTACTCAACCCTAACATTTCCCTACTGGTCTACTGGGTGTTGTGTGGTGTCCGTTGTCTAGTGTTAAGTGTTCAGTAGACTGATGCAAAATTTGAAATTTTCGTTACACAGTGTTCAAAGGCTTCAAATCGGGTCCTGATTAGTTTAAACTGATTTGATAAGAAACTGACTTGGCACAAACCATTTGATGTTTCTATTGAAATTACTATGGGAAAACCAAACTTTTTGTGCATTATCATCTAGCTTTTTTCCATATTGTACTGTTAACAAGTTCGATTGCTATTCTTATGGGAATTTTTATCAGCTACAACTTTGCAGAATATCGTTTTTCAGCCAAACGTCAAATTAAATAGTTATTAATTGTTTAAGAGATTGATAATCTTATGGAAAGATTAAGCAACTGTATTGTGGGCAACACTGTATTCTGCAGTGTGACATAGTAGACATGATTTTTGTCCTCTATTATACGCGCCATAAACACCAATGTTGCCTGCTGAACAGTTGATTGAGCATAATCATAAGACACCAGTGACTTGGATCAATGATAATTTTTGTTCCTTACATTTGATCGAAAAGTTGTATTCAACAAAGTTGTAGCTGAGAAAATTTTCAACAAGCTCAACAAGTAGAGTGAACTGGTGAATTATGAGATTGATATGAACCGAAATTAAGGTTTCCCCATAGTAATTTCCATATAAACTTCAAATGGTTTGTGCCAAGTCAGGTTCTTACTAAAGGAGTTCAAATTTTCGGAGGATAATCAGGACCCAATTTGGAACCATTTGAGCACAATGGAGCGAAAATTTCAAATTTTGCATCAATCTAGTGTTCAGTCTGTGTAAGCTCTTGTTGAAAACGGTGTCAAATGTATTTTTGATTGACTCTTCAACGAGACCCAGCGATTTTCCAACAAGCCCAAAATACTCACCCTCACTTCCACGGAAAACACTAACAAGAAGTCCGATATCACGATCGCGATTTATTGGGTAATGCTGATGATGAGAAGCGTGATCATTGATCAATCCGCAGTAGAGCATCTTTGAAATAATCTACTTACACGACGTTACAATATCCAGCTGCCAAAAAATATCTTGTAGCATACTTCTCCCAGCATCTTAAAACACATCAACACGATCAAAGTTAATCACGTCTTCCGGACCGTCACCAATCACTCCAGAGTTTTATGTTTCCTGGATACTATCAACGTCCTGGAATGCATTTGGGTATGTTTTTCTCCAAATTGAACTGGCTTCGTTGAAGAAGATTGAAGTAGGTATTTGAAGACGGCTTCCAACGTCGACGGCAGATCCTAAAGCAGCAATGAGCAGAATATTCTAGACCAACAATTGAAATAGGTGGAACAATGAAACGAAAGAAATTGATTTAAACGCAAATTTTTCGAGACTTAAAACACATCCACGTAATCTGAAGAACAAGCTTCCTTTATCAAATGGAACTGTTAGTTTGCCTAAGTGTGTTTTGATTATCGAGAAATATGCGGCATGGCAAGAGCTGCATTACAGGTATTCAAGGTTCAAAACTACCCACACCGCGATGAACCCCAGCAAACTTTTGCCAAAACCCGCGCCAGGAAGCTCTACACGGAAATGTTGACCAGATACAGTTGCTGTGTGATGGATGATGAAACATACGTCTAAGCTAACTTCGAAGACTACAAACCAAGAAGACTGACAACTGTTCCCTTATCCCATACAAATGTCAAACGTCACTCATAACAGCGCCTCTGTCAAGTTGGAACTTTGAAGCACAAGTGTTAGTGAGACTACTCATAAACAGTGACTGTGTGTGTCACCTGAGGTCCACGAATCGAATAATCATAACACGGTACTCGTTGTTGTTTTTGTTTTGCTCTACAAAATTTCACGGCAATTTGTATCCTAATCCCAGCAAGCCGGTGATTTTCCAACTCCAAACCGAAAAACTTGTCATGGTGGAACAAGTAGAGGATTGAAACTCGGATCGATACCTAGTGAAAGTAACTTATACTTGTGAACGAGGAACCGAAATATTGATTATTTTGCCTGTTGGAAGCAATCAATTACAAGGAATTGGCAGCTTCCACCACCATTTAGTGAACTACCATCATTTGGAAGCTGCTGAAAATTTAAGGATTAAAAAAAAAGAAGGAAGATCCGGTACCTACATTACGATCCAACGTAAGGCGTAGCAGGATCTAATGCTGGAGAAAATTAAAATGAAAGGTTGAAGGGCTATAATCCTAAACGGTACGTATAGATAAATAATACATTTCCATTTTAGATGTTGTCAGAACATGAAACCACCGGACATGATCCTCTGTATTATTTAACAATCCTTGGAATCGACCGACCCCTTCCAGAGAATGATAACAACAGTGTTGGTTTGGCCAGTGAGTCTACAGGGTCGGTTTGGCCAGCCATCTTTTCTTATAACTTACACATACAAAATATCATCACAATATCTTATTATTCCATAATTTCATAAAACATTTCTTTAGACAAAATGAATGGAAGGCACCTTGCGTGTCAGCGAGTACTGTGCCAAGTTGCCGAGCGTCACAACTTAACTCCCCCCACTGTGGCCAGATGCCAAAGTCAAGCGGAACGGGCATGTATTTTATTAATGCACATAAATGCATCACTAAAGGGCTTAGGAAAAGTGAATTTCTGAGATTGCAAATTAATGATCGAGGAAGGTCCCACCATCATTGTGAATGACATCATTGCCATAGTTTTAATTTTCAAAACAAATTTACTTACGCATCTGTTCAATTTCTGCTGGAATTTTACTCGTTGTCAGCATAAAGCAAAAATGGAAACGTTTCACTTTTTACGACAATCATAGCAAAACCAATAATTGACAACTATTTGTTTCTACCTATGTGTATGAATGCACGCATGAATTGACACACACCATCATACAACGTTCCACTTTTGCTCAGAAAAGGCGTTGCCGTTACTGTCTCTTGATTTTTGGCAAAGTTGCCAGTCTTCTTGATTTGTAGTCTTCGCTAACTTCCTAAGATAAGTTCCGAGTGGATAATCGTTTCAAGAAAAATAAAATGTAAAAATTGCATTAGAATACCTTATTTAGTAGACTATCTTCACCTGTGGAAAACGAAGTAAAATATTTGCCACAAAGGGCACCATTGAATGGTGAAATTTACAAAAAAGAAAAGCCTCCACAAAAGACTGCTGGCATTTTTAAGGCAGCACAGTGAAAAACCATTGTTTTGGCCAAAATTAGCTTCATGTCACTATTATAAAAGCGTGCCAGAATGGTATGAGGCTAATTCGGTGCATTTTGTCCCAACGACATGAATCCACCGAACTGTCCAGATCTACGCCCAATCGAAACTTATTAAGCCATGATGAAGCGGGAACTCAGACCAAGGAGAAGGTAAAGGATGCAAATTACATGCGGAGGTAATGGCTACAAAATGAAAAGCAGGAACCGGATACGACTGTACAAACACTTATGGATGACGTGAAGCAAAATTGTCGTGTATTTTACCAAGCAACCCCCAAAAATTGATCCAATATATGTATACTGAGCCAAATACATGTACATGAACCAACGTACAAATTTAGTTTTTATCTGATAAATACGTGAAATTTGAAAGCAAATTGAATGTGTTTTAATAATTTTGTGTTCGCCCTTTAATTCGGATTAAAAAAAAGTGATTTCCGTAATTTCAGATGAAAAAATATTCAAATTTTGAACACTTTGCGGCACCCCTAAATCATGTCCGATTGAGCAAAAATGTTGCATAGGGTCTTTTTTTATACCCATACAATATTTTGTATGTGAACTTTTGTAAAAAAATTGTTAGCCCTAACCTCGAGATAGCCGCGAGCAATCGAACCCGCTTTGCTAACGTTAGTTTTAAGTAATTTTGTAACCCAAACGATGAATATTGGCTCCACAAAGCTACGGCAAATGAGCCTGGAAAAATAAACGCAGTTAAAATAAAATGTTTGTAAAATTCAAGATAACGGTTTTCATTGGCACCCTGATACATACTGTTGCATGTCGAGATAATTTGCTTTAAACATTAATTTTGCATTCTTATTATACATCCTTCTTTTGCTATTTACTCTTTTCCTCAAAACCAAACATTCCCAATAGAAAGTGGTAATTTGTCATTCTCCCCTGCATAGTTTTTGGAAAACAATGAAAAAGTGATAAGAGACTTCAGCATGTCAGAAAGCGTACATTATCATACGGTATGCATTGTGTATCATCGTTGTTAGACAAAGTAGCTCATTCTTGCCGCCAAATCTACCGTTCTTCGCTAAATTATTAAGCAAACAGGTACCTACTTCTTTTAGAAGCGCAAACAATCCCCCAGGTGATGGTACATAGCAGTACACAGTCATAATCTTCAACCTACACAGCACAATCACTGGCTGACTGGTTCCATATTCTGTTGCTTCAAGATAACCCAAGTAATAGCACACTACAATAACTCCCCGTTTGCTGCTCCTGCCGCTTGAAATGTTTACCTTCCAGCTTCCACCAACGACGGGAAGAGAAAACTAGTCTCCTCGTGCATATTATCCTCATCACAGGTCGTTGCCTTGACTGGTCGGGTTGCGCTGACTCCCGTGTACAATCTGGGATCGTGAAATGACGCTTTACTATCTCGGCGGGAAAACATAAACGACGCGTGGTAAAATATGTGCGCACCATTTCCACCTACGACCGACGACGACGAGCCGAAACCAGCACAAGGATGGGATTTTTTTTAATGCTCGCCTCCTGACTATGGGAGTACACGTATATCCGTAAGCGGTACACCAATCTCGTTTCTGCAAGTACCGCGTAAAAAGACTCTATGACCACGTTGTTAAATTGCATCGTGCCCGGACATAAAGTTCTGATGGGTTGCTGGCTGGAAGAAGCCATGGACTAGCATGAATTGGGAATATGTTCTACTCTGTAGATGCAGCACAATGCAATGATGGCCCCGAGAGCGTTTATGGGGTGTGTGGCCGTTAAAATCATACTTGCGTTGCGTAGCTGGTTGTGAAACAGGACGAACAAATCCGTTCGGTGATGTGTTGGTTAGGTTGCTTCTAGTTCAGACAACGTTTGTAATGTGGGCAGTAAATTTAGCTCAGTGCTTTTGTTTCAGCGTTGTTTCGATGACTAGACGACATTGTGCGGAAAACATTGATGCATGACAATTTTGCTTTGGCATTCTTTCAATTAAGTCAAAGCAACAATTATCAAAAAAAAAAACCAGTACTACCACTCATTCCAACCTGAAATAGAGAGCGCCATACTAGGCCCCACAAACGTCCCAACTGCTGTAACACAAAGCATTCCCCAACTGGTCAACGTCTTCACTTTTCCAGAAGAAATAGCAGCAGCCTCAATTGTCACCGCTCAGAGTTTGCCCCTTTTGCCATTTTGAGACCAACTTTCTCAATAAAATATTTAATTTTAGACTTCTTCACTCCAAGCATCCGACCAGAGCGACAACAAGGCACAAGGCACAGTACACATAACTTGTGGTGTGTGGCATGACTGGGTGACAGCTAAACTCCCACAGCACCACCCTCGCAAAGTAACATTGATTCGATTGAACACCACGTGCAGGCCCCGGGAGATTTCCGTCCCCAGGAAGGCCGCTCGGAGAGGAGGACAGTGGAAATAATATCGTATCAGTGTGGTGAAAGTTTTTTTTTCGTCCCCTATGTGCTCGTAGGAAAATTGTGCATCGTGGAGGACTCACTTCTTGTTCATATACGAAACAAGAAATCACTTTGGCAAGTTCCATGTGTGCTGCTCGGCGGCGATGCGAGTCTGAAGTCAGTTAAGTTTTTAATTTAAACTTTGCAGACTGTTAGTGCTGTCGGAACCCAGTGAAGAAAGACAAGCTCCAAACACAAGCTTCTCTCACCGCACAAATGGTACAGAACGGGCAATCTTGAACTAAAACGTGAGATTGTTTATTTTTCATTCAACTCTGCGGCCAGAAATGTGTTCAAGTTCCTAATCAAAAGAGTGAGCAAATGGCATGGTGTTTTTGCATAGGACTGCAGAAGGGGCTTTTGACCACATTCATAGTCGTACCTGATGAGCCACGCTTTGAAATGTTTCCCGAGCATCAAGCGATATTCTGCAAGAGCCTAGGGAATAAAGAGCTGCGGCCGTTTGTTGCTACTGTTCCTGAGGCGAGAATTGTAAATGGTACAAAAAGTAGGACCAATAGCTTATAGCTTCAGCAACAGCAAAATGATAAAAAACTGAAATCACATGACATGGCTTGAATGGGCCTGGGAACGCTTCAGCAAACGTAATTTTCCATCAATGCGTAGTACAGCCCAAATGACCACTACCCCAAAAGGCTCATTACCCTTGAAGATCCGCTACCTTAAATTTCGAGTTGGATTGTCAGATATTAACCAAATGTTCACGGTTCATACGATTAAAAAAAAAATCGTACGATGATTGACCACGCAGGGAGAGGAGGGAGTCTAAAACATCTTCAAAACTGTCCACATTGAACGCCGTAGGTGCGCATCTAAGTTCCAGCTGTTTTTCAATAGATGGCTCCAGCAGTAAGTGCTGGTCGTTTGTGACATATCGAAAACTTCATGGACGAAGCTTAGACATACATAAAGACGAGTTCACGGATGGATTTGAGTTCACTCATTCCAGAAAAAGTGGCCCAAGCTACGGGCAATGATCATGAACGCTGATTGCCCTGTAACGTGGGTAGATCACCTTTTCGTGGTACGTTACGGGATGTAAGATCTACCACCGATTCCTAGTCCTGACTACTTCAAACTATGGGACAGGATTTTTCAGTAATCCAAGGAACACATCTTAGTCCTTGTTACTTTTTATGCCTTGTTGGTAGTGATAAGTCCTCGGGTTGCCTGGACCGAGGATGATCTTGTAACAAGGAAAAAATGAGTTAGTTAGTCTTCATCTATGTGATTCCTAATCTTCTATTCGTTGTTCCCTAGTTTGAAGTGGTTAAGACTAGGATTCTGATGAATGGTCATTATCGGTGTCATACCTTAATTTTGTTGCTAAGGAATCCAATTATGACTGACAAAGGGGGCGCTCCTTTGGAGAGTGTTTCAACACTCCGAAGGTTATAAATAGCGGGACCTTTTAATTAGAGTCGAATCCTTGCGA